ACACCTCAGGCCTGGCTTTAACACCTTATGCTTTATATTTTTAGCAGATTTTTGAGCCAGCTGGGGATGTGGCTTAGTGGCAGGGTAACACCTGGTCCTGGGTTGGATTCCTAGCACTGAAAACCTTTTGAGCCATGGATGAGAGAGATTTGTTCTTGGGACACTGCCCTGGTCCAGATGCTATCACTCTGCTGCTGATCCATGTGAATCGGAGACTGTCTCTGAGCCTTCATTGCTCCACCCCACCCAATCCCGTTTTGTTGATGTCATTTTGTTTTGTTGGTTTTTTTGTTTTTAAGACTGGTTCTATAACTTTGGCTGGCCTGGAACTCACAGAGCTCCAGCTGCCTCTTGGTGGGATTGATGTGTGACACCACACAGGCTCTCCTCTCCTTTCTTTATCTCACTTCCCTTTCTCTTCTCTTCCTTTCCTTTCCTTCCCCCTCTTTCCTTTGGTTGAGTTCAGGTCTTATTGTGCAGCAGTATCGGGATTACAGGTGTAGGCCACCATGCCTGGCTTCCAGTTTTCGCAGCTACAGTATGGGGATAAGTGTGTCCATATCTTGCAGCTCAGCCAGACTATTGGACCACAGCACTCTCTATTTGCAAATGTGTTTTGTCAACTTCAGAGCACAAGACAAACGTTCAGTAGTCTGAACAAGTCTAGACGCCAGTGGGGATCAAAGCTGCTTTCACTAACTACCTCAGAGTGCCCAAGTTGGCCCTGCAGATACAGCCAGTCTGTGAGACCACTGTACAGCATTTGCCTTATGCTTAGAAGTCTTGTGCTGAAAGCACACAGGGTTACTCCCTTCTCAGGAGAGCAGGGTCCATCCTTCCATTGGTGCAGGAGCCAAACCTTGAGCTCATCCTTCACTCCTCTTTCTCCCCCACCCCTTGTCCAGGAACTCAGCACATCCCGTTAGCGTCATTTTCAAAAACTGCATCAACAGTGTGACCACTCACAGTACCGCCTTTCCCTTCCCATCTGTCCCAGTCACTGCTCCATCTCCTATCTAGAGCCTTGTAATTCTCTCACTCTCTTTCCCGCAGCATCCAAAGACTCTACCTTTCGAAGTCTCAGATGAGTCAGCAGAGTTCCTGACCACACCCCCACGCAACTCTCCTCTCTCCCACTCCCCCTACCTCCCACCCCTCACTGAATACTCTCTGTCCTTGTATATGCTTTGTTAAGTCTCTTAGGACCTGAATTCAGCCAGAATCCCTCACCTGTGGCTGGCATTATGGATACTCAGGACTAGATAGTGGTTATCAGTGGTTTGCTCTGTGCCCTGACTTTGGCATCCTTCCAGTTAGGACAACACAGACGAATCTGCAGATATTGCCAAATGTCACATGCCCAGTGGAGAACCTCTGTCCTGGGAGACTGTGAGCTTCATGGCAGCAGGCTCATCATGGTCCCTACTGTGCTGCAAAGCCTGGAAAGTTCCAGGCCCAGAGACTTTGCTTAGTAAGAATTTGTTACTAGGGTTGGTGGTACATGGCTGAAATCAGAGGTGGAAACTGAGAGTAGAAATTCAAGGTGAAGCCAGGTGGTGGTGCACGCCTTTAATCCCAGCAGAGGCAGCAGGTCTGAGTTTGAGGGCAGCCTGGTCTACAGAGGAGTTCCAGCACAGCCAGGGGTACACAAAGAAACTGTGCCTCAGAAAAAGGAAGGAAGGAAGGAAGGAAGGAAGGAAGGAAGGAAGGAAGGAAGGAAGGAAAGAAAAGAAACCCTATCTTAAAATAAATAAATAAATGAAAAGGTGGCCATGGGACGGGCTTGAATGAACACAGAGAAGGGAAGAACCTGGCTCCTGAAGATGCCACTGGGAAGCTGGGATGTGACTGGATCCAAAAGCCTGGTTGCTCTCCGCACTTACACTTGCTAGCTATCCGTTTGAAGCAGGACATTCCTGGTGGTGTACTTGTCTTTTTGTAGATAGGGAAACTGAGGCTTTGAGAGCCTTACAGGGAGTTAGCGGCAGGGCTCAGCCCGGAACCTGGACTCCTGATTCCCATCCTGCTAGTCCTCCAGCAGCGGCACCCGTGTTATCTCTGAGCAGAGGCTGGGAGGTAGTTTGCCAGGAAGATGGCTTGGGCCGAAGGCTAGCTCTGGAGCCAGAGCTCAGATGGGTTTGGAGGATGCAAAGAGCTTATTTCCTGGCCTGGAGAGGGGAATGGCGGGGAGCAGAGAGAGAGCATCAGGCAAAGAGGAGAGGCCTGGGCTGGGAGGCTTCGAAGCTGCCCCTGAGAGGCTGGAGCTCCACGTGGATGCCATGGGAACAGAGTCATGGCGAGGGAACTCCGTGGTTGGTGGATGGTGGGTGGAGGGAACCCAAGGCCAGGGACCAGTTAGGAGACTGTTGCAATCATCTGGGAAAGGGAAGGGATCTGGCTGGAGAGCTGGGCTACAGGGCGGGCCGGGCTGGGGGAGGCAGCCTCTGGAGGTTCCTTGGGGGCGGTTCTGAGCTCGGTCCAAGGGTGTGGTGAGCCCAGTCATGTTTCGGGCAATGGCCAGTGCTGAGCGTCCAAGAAGAGTCTCTAGGATGTCTGGCAAGTGGGTGTGTCAGATCAGAGGTCAGGATCCTAGTTTCAGTGGAGTGTAGGATTGGGGGAGCAGACAAAGGAAGTAGAAGGAAGAGGGTCAAAGGCCAACTTCCAGATGTACTAGCTAGGCCTTGGAGGGAAGCCAAGGCAGGATAAGGGGCTGAGAAGTGGGTGAGGGCACACCTCTCACTTCAACAAACCTAAAGGTTTTGTGGTTCAAAAATAAAAGTTAGAAAGACATACTTGGGTGCCCAGTCCTCTTCCAGGTTGGGAGAAGTGGGGTGAAAGTTGCCTAAGAACTTTCTTTCATAGTTCGAATGGGCAACACCATGAGTATAGCACCAAGGATCTGGAGATCAGGAGCTAGAGAGCCAGCTGACTTAAGTTTTCTGCCGTTCTGGTTGAGTGTGATTCATATTGTTTCACTCACAGTGCAGAGAAGAAGCTTGGGTGGGTGGATATATGAATGGATGCATAGGGGAATGAATGATGGATAGATGCATGGAAGGATGGACAGATACCCAGGCAGATGATGGCTAGACATGCGCACGGGTGAATGATGCATGGCTGTGTACATGGGTGGATACACAGATGATAGGTACATGGATTGACACACACACACAGCTGTATGAATATTCATGGTTAGGAGGGAGGAAGGGTTGTTGACTGGCTGACTGGAGAGACCAATGTATGTATGTATGTATGTATGTATGTATGTATTGTAAGTGGAAAGGTGGATAGGCAGGGAGATGTATATGTAGAAATTTTTTTTTATATTTTTATGGTTTATTTAACTTTATTTTATGTGCAATGGTATGAAGGTGTCAGATCCCCTGCAACTGGATCTTCAGACAGCTGTGAGCTGCCATGTGGGTGCTGGGAATTGAACCCGGGTCCTCTGGAAGAGCAGTCAGTGCTCTTAACCTCTGAGCCATCTCTCCAGCCCCCTAGAAATTTTTTTTTTAGACAAAGTCTCACATATACCAGGCTAGC